TAAAACATAAATCATTTGCTGAGCTATAAAATGTACCAGAAATGGCATTTCTTTTTGTTCCCTGATCTGCATAGTTATTTTGTTATATTAAAATGTTGCCTCAGCCTATCTTTATCCTTAGGTAAAGTCTTTTAAAACCTTTATTTCTGAACGTGGGATACTTTCCAATTTTTAGTTTAGTAGTCTGGTTAACTTCACTAATCTTCAATATGGTAAATTCTGTCTACCAACTTTAGGGTATCCTTTAAAAGATAATTTCTATAATTCCATGAATGTATACTGTCACATTTTAACTTTCCTTTAATCCAGAATAGTTATAGAGGGGTACTCTTTTATTAGGATGCCATAAAACAATTTGCTGGCCTTTTGAGCATACTACCAGGGTACTTCAAAAAGTTCATGGACAGATTTGTATTACCTTTTAATTCTATATTTCTTTTTTTTTTTTTTTTTGTCTTTTTCCGTGTCCAGCAACGGATCGCAACCCTCAGTGTCGCCCCCGTACCGGACCGGGGACCGGCAATGGGATCGCAAACCTCCATGCTGCTCCCGCGCCTCGCTCAGCCAGTGAGCGGGAACCGGTCTGCATGTGGGATCCGAACCCTTGGGCGGGAGCGCCGCCACGCTTCCTAAGCGGCGCACTATCCAGTGCGCCACTGGGCCGGCCCTTAATTCTATATTTCCATGAACTTTTAAAAGTACTCTCGTGTTATGAGTTACTCTTTAGCTTTTAGGTGCCCCGCTAAGTGGACTGATTGCATAGGTATAATTCTAGGAGGAAGAAGGAAGTTGCCTTTTAAGTATTCTACATGTTTTACTTAAATTTCCAAAAGTACAAATATGAAAGATCTGTGGATGTATAGATTGATTCACTTTCTAATTAAACGTTGAAAAAAACCAGTTGGAATGTACATGAAAGAAAAAGCAAAATGCAAAACTGTGTATACTGTGTGACCATCTGAACAAAGGAGGAGAAGGAAAAGAAGACATATTTGTATTTTACTCTGTATTCATTTAAAAATGTTTTTGGAAGAAATCAGAAGAAATTGTTAACAGTTTAACAATTAGAGGGCAGGGTTGGGACCTGGGCAGATGGAAGATAAGGGTGGTAGGATTTTCAATATATTCTTTCTTTTTCATTTAAATGTATTTGTTAGAATTTCAGTGTCATGGCAATTTTTTTTTTTTTTTTTTTTTTTGACAGGTAAGGGGATCACAACCCTTGGCTTGGTGTTGTCCGCACCGCAGTAAGGGGATCACAACCCTTGGCTTGGTGTTGTCCGCACCGCGCTCAGCCAGTGAGTGCACTGGCCATCCCCATATAGGATCCGAACCCGTGGCAGGAGCGCAACTGAGCTCCCAGCGCTGCACTGAGTGAGCCATGGGGTCGGCCCATCATGGCAATTTTTAATACCTTTATGTATAACTGACACACAATATACAATGTATGCACATATTTATAATATGCATACATTTTTAGACTTCTTATTTTTGAACCATGTGAATATATGATCTCTTTAAATGGAAAGAAATTAAAACTTTAAGAATTGGTTAAGTAAATAGATAAATAATAAAGGTGTTCTGTCCTGGATTTTGTCATATGCACTTGGGCCTCTGTGGTTCAATCTAAGAATTTTTATTCCTTTTGACTTCCTGTAGAAATTTCGGGTGAGGTTAGCTTGGTGGTTTGCAAACAGTAAATTCTACCCGATGGAAAAGATTTTGAAAACAAAACTGTCCCAGACATGTCCCTGATCTCAGGGTATTGACATTCTTCAGAATGAACAGTGAACACATAAATTTTTAAAATTAAAGTAGTAGCCAAGGATGGGGATTTAAGCAGAATTATCTAGCTGTAAATAAACAAGGTTAAGGCCATTGTTACCTCACCCTCCACGACTCCTTGGCAGGGCTCTGACTTTCACATAATCTATTTAGGACTATAGAAAATCAGGCCTTGACATAAAGGAGGGCTCTGGCTGGCCTCAGAGCCCTTTCAGGGTGTGACTTAACCCTCACTCCACTTTCACCCCTTCACTTCCATTACATCCTCATGTTAGGGACACTTTGACCAGACCTTTTCTTGGTCAGGAAAAGGGTCTTGTGTCTCTGAGTACTGACTCTGCTTCTCTGGGTAAGAATGACAGTTTTCTGCTCTAAAGAACTGTTTGCCATAGCCTGTCTTTGGGCTTATGAGATTTGGCTGGTGGGAAGCAAAGATGAGAACTTTCTAATTCAGTTTTTACATGTTCGCTGTCTTCCCCCTCCTTTTGTCCCTTGATCTGCTAACCCAGATAAATGCCTTGTCCCATCCTGATTTTATCACTGAGAGGAGCCGATCAGACTCGGAGACTTGGTGTCATTGTTGGAATCAACTTGCTCTTGTTCTCGGATTTCCACTTTCTGTGCCACGGAGGCACCCTCATGGATAAGTCACGATACTCTTTCTGTGTCCAGTTCCATTATGGAAACAGGTACTTAGGGAAAACAAGGTAACCCAGTAGTAGAAGTTCTGGTTTGCTAGTCAGACAATCTGAGTATAGTACTTACATTGCCATGAACTTTGTCACTTGATTCAATGCCTTAGCCTTGGTAGGTTCTTTGCAAAAGTTTATTAGTTGATTGACTAGGACAAATTCTCTGCTCTAGTTTCATCAGTTGAAAGTAGAGATGACTTGGGCCGGCCCAGTGGCGCACTCGGTAGAGTGCGGCGCTTGGGAAGCGCGGCGGCGCTCCTGCCGAGGGTTCGGATCCCACATACAGACCGGCCGCTCACTGGCTGAGCGAGGTGCGGGAGCAACACCGAGGGTTGCGATCCCGTTGCCGGTCCTGGTCTGGTATGGGCGCGACACTGAGGGTTGTGATCCGTTGCCGGTCACGAAAAAAGACAAAAAGGAAAAAAAAAAAAAAGAAAGAAGAGATGACTTTTGTTACCTCATTGCCATACAGCTATATTAAAAATAAATACATTAATGTAATGAAATTTGTTTCTTGGAAGACAAGTAATAAACACAATGTATGAATTGGAGGTGATTTGTAAAATCTGAGGTGGATGAAATGCTTTCCCAAGTTCCTTCTAACTCCAGTGTCTGTCAGGTTCTGTGAGAAAGGGCACAGCCTGGTTGCAGCTGGACTGTAGGAGGGTGGAATTACTTCTGTTTTTGTCCACTGAGTGATATCCTTAAGTTCCAGATGCAAGCCTGCCTTGTTCCATTGGCATCTTTAGAGCATTTTTTTCTCCTTTTTCTATATGATGCATAGTTGCTGTTTTACTTATGAACTTTAAATAAATTAGGTAATTTTATAATAAACTTTGTGAGGAGATAAGGCCAATATTAAATCTACATTTTTGTAGGCGAAGAAAATGATTTAGAGAAGTTGTATGATTTGTCCAAAGTTACATCATAAATAAATGGCAAGGCCCCTTCTTTTATATACTGTTCCCTCTTCTCCATGCTTCAGTGTCTAATTTGTAAGTATAAAATTAGGAAGTATGACCCAAAGATGTTTGAAGGCTCTGTTATCCTGATCTGAAATCAGTTAATCAAATATTTATTTAGAATCTTAAATCGTTTTTGAATAAGGAGAATTTTACTTACTGTAGTAGTGTAAATTGAGCATCTTATGTGCAAAGCACTGTGGAAGAAATATAATACAAAACTTTTGCCATCAAATATGTAGTTTATCCTCTAGAGATTGAATGCCAACAGTAGACATCTAGTTTTATGTAGTAGAGGATTTTGTATAAGCAGAGATGGATCAGGGTAAATAAGAACCTGAGAATACTGAAGGTACAGGGTAAGGTCCAGGCTGTGGGCACAAAACTTCGACTAGTGTTTATTAGGAAACAGTTGGTTATAGGAGTTTGGCAAGAACAGGGAGGCACTGGGTCCAACTTTAAAGGCTCTGTATGTTGTAGCTGTCTCAGAGTTTCAGGTTAAAGGGTAAGATTTTCTAAGGCTGGGAGTCAGTAATTCTCTTAAGAATGAGGCACAAGAGAAGGGTAAGCCTATAAGGGGTCAAGGAACTTGGGGTTAGGGGGGTGGTTATGGGAAAGAGACAGGCCAGGGTCATAGCTGTGAGACTGCCTCAGGTGGAGCTGGGAACTCCCAACCCCCCAGCAATCAGCTCAGCAGTTGCTATGACAAGCATTATCAGCCATTTTTTTTTTTTTCCTTTTTTTTTGTCATTTTTCGTGTCCAGCAACGGAACACAACCCTCAGTGTCGCGCCCATACCGGACCGGGACCGGCAATGGGATCGCAACCCTCGGTGCTGCGCCCGCCCCTCGCTCAGCCAGTGAGCAGGAACCGGTCTGTATGTGGGATCCGAACCCTCAACGGGAGCGCCGCACTGTAGGAGTGCGCCACCGGCCGGCCCATTATCAGCCATTTTTGCTCCTCCTCTTTCTTAAAAGGTAGCTGAAATTTATAGAACTTACTGTTTTCCTGCCTCTTTTCTCCTCCTCGAGGGCAATTTAAAGGGGCTGCTCTGTGTGCCCTAGTCCTGGTGTGTACTTGTGCGTGGGCACGCACACATACACTCTTACCCATTTATCACAATAATTCTCAAGCCATCAGAAGAAATTTTTTGTCTTGATAATATGAGATTGCTAACCTGGTCCTAGGCTGCTGTTCTTTGTGCTGTTGCAAGAAATAAGCAAACGGAGGAAACCGTTTGGAATAATAGTATTTTAAGCAGCTTTTTATAGCCTTTTAAATTTCATAGTGCAAGTCATTTAGTTCTGGGGGATTATAATTCGTGATTGTGTCTTGTTTTCTTTGAGTGTCTACATTTGAGGTAAAATTGAATTGTCGCTAGCACATTTTTCTGAAGCCATACCTATTTGTCCTTTTTGTTTGTTTGTTCAAATGAAACAGTGCATCAAGTATGGAATTAGATTAATGGAGTAAATATTATGAGTCATACACTCTCTAATCTGATGCTCTTTCTTCTTTTTTGACCCCATGTTTTGTTTTCTGTCTTTCTCTCTTCGTGTAGGCTTTCAGTCCAGCGTAAAGCTGTTGGAGCAAGGGAGCAAAGGTAAAGAATGATGTAATGTGCTGGCTGCCCCAAAGCATCTTTTGTTGTGGAATGGTTATTCCAGTCATCTCTTTATGAATCAAATGTGAGGAGCTGCTTTGTGGAAGGAGTCCTTTGCAAGAGCACATCAACGGGAAAGAGAAAGAGACATTCACTTGGAGGGCTCTTGCTGAAAATGGGTTTAACTCTCCTTTTGCCAGTCACCACCAGCCTGACCTCATACATTTTTAGTACAATAGAGTGGCTGAGCCTTTGAGCACACCACCATTACATCATCGTGGCAAATTAAAGGAGGAGGTGGAAAAAGAGGACTTATTGTTGTCATGGCCCATGAGATGATTGGAACTCAAATTGTTACTGAGAGGCTGGTGGCTCTGCTGGAAAGTGGAACGGAAAAAGTGCTGCTAATTGATAGCCGGCCGTTTGTGGAATACAATACATCCCACATTTTGGAAGCCATTAATATCAACTGCTCCAAGCTTATGAAACGAAGGTTGCAGCAGGACAAAGTGTTAATTACAGAACTCATCCAGCATTCGGCAAAACATAAGGTAAATGCTTTCTTTTTTGCCTTTTCAAAATAAATGGACACACCAAATGGGGAATAATTTTAGTTGAAGTTTCATTTTTAAGTGGAGAAAATAATTTGATGAAGTTTTGTCTGCTTTTAAAATTTTTGTACCTTGTGGTACTTCAAAATAATTTACTAACCATATTGTCACACTTAAAAATATTTCTGAACTATACAGAAGGGTTAACTTGCTTTAATTTGGACAAGTGCTATGTTTTCCTATTAATGGCTTGCTAAAGTTGTTTATCAATTTAACCATTATTTTATATTATTTACAAATTTACTGAAAGGAAAGTTATTCTTCCAAGTGCTTTGGAAGGAAATGTTGGAAGTAATTATTAGAAGTGCTTTTTATATGTAGTAACATTGGTCAATACTTAAGGATATTATCTTCAAGGAAAGTTATTCCTGGGGTACCAACATTTTATCTGTGTGGTAGGAAAGGCTACTTCTTTTCTTCAGGAATAAAAATGAGCTTGTGTTTTAATTTTAATAAATAACTGATTTCTTTGTTGTTATGTAGAAACCATTTTTTAGAATGTTTCTTTAGGGCTGGCCGGTTAGCTCAACTGGTTAGAGCACAGCCTTGTAACCCCAAGGTCAGGGGTTCAGTTCCCCATACCAGTCAGCTATAAATAACTGATTTCTTTGTTGTTATGTAGAAACCATTTTTTAGAATGTTTCTTTAGGGCTGGCCGGTTAGCTCAGCTGGTTAGAGCACAGCCTTGTAACCCCAAGGTCAGGGGTTCAGTTCCCCATACCAGTCAGCTACCAAAAAGTGTTTCTTTAGGTCAAGGGTTATGTTTATTTTGCATATTATTTGGTTTATGAATTTTACCTTTTCATAGAGTCATGGATTTAAAACCAGCGGGTTTTGAGCACATCTACACAGAAGTAGCATCAGTTTTCCCTTTTAAAAGTTGATTTTTATAAGCATTTAAACCATTTGTATGCCATATATTCAGTAAACTGACCACATCTCATTTTTATTCAAATTATTAATTGAAAACAGGAAGCAACTGTGTGCGTCGGTGTCAGTAAACGTGAGATCCTACTCAACCAGTAGTTTATGAGATTATTTTTCTCACCTTCCTTCCTAACAAGCCTCATATTTGCTTTTCAGGTTGACATTGATTGCAGTCAGAAGGTTGTAGTTTACGATCAAAGCTCCCAAGATGTTGCCTCTCTGTCCTCAGACTGTTTTCTCACTGTACTTCTGGATAAACTGGAGAAGAGCTTCAATTCTGTTCACCTGCTTGCAGGTAAGGCTTGTTAACAGGTCTTGAAATCTCATTGAGCCATATGAGTAAGCAGTATTTCACAGTGAGCTCAAAGTGCGATAGATCATCCCAACTTTGATGTGTAAAATGATTTAATTATAGGTTTTGATTGATGTAACTGTTCTGTTTAACTTGAGTGTTATCATTCTTCCACATTGCCTCTTCACTCGGGGTTTACTGGCTAGAAGTGCCACATAGATCTGTTTGCCCGTATAGAGAGCTCAAAGCCAGCTGCTTATGTCCGAGGATGTTTCCATTTGTTGGTGATATCAGAGCACCAAATGATCTACATCTCTGCTCCTGCTATTAGTTCCCGCTCCTGTGGCAAGAACAAGACCAGTATGAAACTCTTATTAAACATTTATATTTATATTGGACTCCAGAGATAAGGTCTCTTTTCAGGGCATTATGAACAATGAAATAGGGAGAGAACATGTGCAAACAAAATGTTTCTTCTAATACGTTAGGGGGACTATTTTAAAACTTATTCACTCGTGTATTTTTATTTGTTTTATTTTTACCACCGGGAAAAAAGTCTCCACTTGTAAATGCTAAGCAAGCAGATGATTTTTATAAAGTACATGGGAAGGACCAAATATTTTATATCTTTCCTGAAGGTAGACCTCCCATTGTGGGAGGTCTATCTCATCAAATTGCAAAGCAGACTGTTCGTCCTTTGCTTCCTCTATTTTGCAGAGGTCACTAAAGTCCTTTCACTTGCACTGGCTTACTGAGCCAAGAATATAGTTGACAGTGCACAGTAACGTTAACATAAAGCTGTTGTCAGATTCAGCCACAGTCGTAGATGCTCCTAACACCCATGTTGTTCCAGGGTCAACTGTATTAGGTTCTGTCTGTGTTGATAGATACATTCTTTTTACTGGGTGTCTGTGTGCTTAATACAACAACTATTATTGGAGTTCCATTTTATTAATTTGGTGAGTTTAGAAACTGATGCTTCTTGTAGCCACTGTGAGGGACTTTACCTTGGAATCCTATAATGGGATCAGGGGGTTTCTTAGAGGCTGTATACCAAGATGTGTGCTTATCCCACCCTGCTCTTGTTTGATACTTTTTTTTTCCCTATGAGGGCCTGTTACTTGACAGCTTGGCCAAGCAGACACCCCACAGAGGAATGAGCTCATTTTGAGTTTCTGGCACAGGTGTTTTAGGTGCTTGTATGCCCTTTACCCCCTTTATCAAAGAGCATCCCTTTGTTACCTGGGAAGGTTCTATCAATCATGTGTAGCTTTGGGAGGGGCACTCACTGGGCAATAAGGAAGAAAAAGGACTCACTCTGATCAGCTAGATCAACCCTAGGGACACGTGGTATGACACACTGAGTCAGAACACTCTGACATCCTGACTTCATACAGGAAATGTTTCTTAGCATAAATGAAAGTCCATTGAAGCAGCACTAAGATCCACACTGAATGTATTAACAGTACCATATCCCCATACACCTCCAGAATCTGTGTTTCTTTTATTTAAAGGATGGCTTCAGGTCTGAATTGCATTCTGTGGGAGTTTCTGAATGGCCAGATCTCTTCTGACACATGAGAGGATTCTAGATAGTTAGAAGCCTCCCTAGTCATCCAAAAGCTTCTGAGCAATTGGGAATTCTGTTGGTTAATGAATCTGTTCCTCAGGATAGATAGGAAATTGAGGTAAGTGGGAAAAAAAGTTGGGGAAGGTATGGCCATCAATTCTTAGGAACCTGGTTTTTTTTGGCCAAGGTCCAGCTGCTCAGAGGATGTGCCAAGGACATGGGATAGAAGGACATATCGACAAAAGTTTCTTAAATATTTTGCTTGAGGAGAAATAACTGACTATGGAAAAGCACACTAGTTTCTCACAAGGGCTACTGTAAATCACAAGGTTTCTGGAGACGATTTTCACTAGAAACTGCCCCTGTGGCTTTCTGTAGTTAGAGATTTTTGTCAGCCTTGTGTGAATATGATAACAGAAAGACAGAGTGGTTTCTTGGAGTAATTTCTCCATCAGTTTAAAACTTTCAGCCACCTTGAGAAAGGAAGAAAGCATCAAATATGTGATGTAGTTTTCATGGCCATTAAATATGGAAGTGGAGATTTGCGGCCCAAATTCTGCTCACATTCTCAGGGCTACCTTACCCAGAGAAGAATGACTTTGAAGGACGGGAGTGAGAGGATTCCTCAAGAAATTGATAGCAGCATCTTTTTGTCAAATTAATTAATTTTTTAAGTGACACGTATTGATTGTACATATTTATGGGGTACATAGTTATATTTCAATACATATATACAATGTGTGATGATCAAATCAGGGTAACTAGTATATCTGTCATCACAAAAATTTATCATGTCTTTGTGGTGAGAGCATTTGAGATCTGCTTGGCTAGCAACAGCATCTTTTTTTTTTTTTTTTGTCTTTTTTCGTGACCGGCAACAGATCGCAACCCTCAGTGTTGCGCCTGTACCGGACCGGGACCGGCTACGGGATCGCAACCCTTGGTGTTGCCCCCACTCCTCGCTCAGCCAGTGAGCGGCCGGTCTGTATGTGGGATCCGAACCCTCGGCGGGAGCGCCGCCGCGCTTCCCAAGCGGCGCACTGTAGCAGTGCGCCACCGGGCCGGCCCTAGCAACAGCATCTTAATGAGCTCTTTTCCTCAAACAATAGGAGACTCAAATTTACTTGGAGGGCCTAGTTACATGGACATAAAAAATGAAAGATTACTGAAGGAAAGGGGGATGGGGTTTGAGGAAACTATACTGGAATGCAGCAGGCTAAGTTCTTCAATAGGGAATGGGTCTTGTTCATCCTTGTGTTCCCCTTGAGACCTAGCAGTTCTTAAGTTTTCAATAAATGTTTTATATATAAATTAGCTCACATGTAGGTTTTATACATTTTATCATTTATATTTCATATGATTTTCAGTTTAGAATGTGGAATTGTGTTAAACAGCAATGAAATCTGGAAGTGTAGAGAAAACTTGAGATTGTTTTGAAATAAATGATTTGCGAAGTATATTATTTGTTCAGATAAAGCAAACATATAGTTGCTTTGGGAAAATTATCTAATATGAAAACTCTTTTATCTATTTAAATAGATAATAAAATCTAATAAAAATACTGCTGCAGTTAAACAATGCTTATTTTGTGTGGTCCTTAAATACTGATATTTGATAAAGAGCTAAAAACTTTAGAAACCTAGCTCCACTTATAAGAAGATACGATCCTTGAATCCATGTTAATTTAGAACAGTCAGAGTAATCTTTATATTTAAAAAAATGTAAATGTAAATTCTATTTAGCCATTAGGTCACTTAGTTACCAAGTCAAACCAAACCAAACCATTACATTGTTTGGTTATCTGTAGCAGCCTCACATTAGCAAAAATGAATCTGTATCCCTTTAGAAAGTTTGTCATCATCATTGATGTGTAGGTAATAGCAAAATCATTTTTTCCATCTTTTTAAATTTTGAATCAGTTATTGAATAAGCCAAGTTTAAAGACCCACAAATCTTCCCCACAACCCTCTTTAAAATTAGGACTTAATTTATATTAGTGGAGTGACAGAATGAATGTGATGTTTATTTCATAAAAATTACTTTATAACTTAAGATGGGTTTTGTAAGGTAAAATGCCTATTTGGCTAAAAAAATTTGAATTCCTAATAATTTGAACCAAATCTAATTCTATTAAGACTGTTTCAGAAAAGTATATATGAGTATTTGAAATATATTGAAATAATTAAAGTCATAGAAAACTATTAACAGAATAAACTATATTTTAAATTTGCAGTAGGAAGTCACAGATGTAGAGAGGGCCAACTTAATGGGAGCAATAGGTAATCTGGGTGCAGTAATTACAGAAGGTAGAGCAAGAGAAAGGCAGCTGCCCTGCTCTACACCATGGCCAGGACTTGTCCCTGCTATTTCCACTGTAGGTGTAATTTAAAATTGAGGGGAAGGGGAGAGAAAGAGCTTGCGAGAATCTAAGCTAACAACCATTTTTAGGGTTTGGTAAAAACCTTTAGCACTATTGCTAAACCTTAGATATTGACAGAAAAAAAGAAAGGATCAGAAAAGAGAGCAGGAGGGGAGAAAAGCTAAGTTTGAGTAGTTAAGAGTGCTTTCTTAGCACAGGATCTATATCCTCAGGAGGTTGCCAGGTCTTTTGGTCAACTCAGTGCCATGCCTGGCCTTCACTCCTTTGGTGGTCAAATATCTGCATAGAGGCAGTCCAGTTAAGCCAGAAAGAACAATGGACTAGGGGTCAAAACTGTAGCCTGTTTTTTTGTCTCTGCTCATGGCTGGGTGACTTTGGATAAGTCATTTAACGTGACTAATCTTGATTTTTTTCAGCTCTTAAAAAGAGTTAATAACTCTTGCCTTATTTTGAGGATCATATTAGCATGTGAAATCTCTGTATCAAGTCTTTTTTAAGAGGAGACTTTTATCATTATGAGTTAGAAAACAAAATAATTAGTTGCCAACATTGACTTATTGATCAACTTTTTTGGTCTTGTTAACCTTCAGAAAACTAGTTCTCTAAAAAATAAACTTGTTTCTTGGCTTTTACTTATTCACTGCGTATCACTTTATTTTACTTGCCCTTGTCTATTTCTAAGAGTGCCAGATTGGAAATAAATATAGAAGATAAAAGAAAAACTACTGAATTTGGGCTTTTCTTTTGGGCTAACATATAGAAGAGGATAAATGGGTTAATTTAATAGAAATAAAAATCAACCTACAGATGAGAAACATACTGCTCTACTGTTTTCTTCTCTTTCTCCACTATTACAGCCTGAGTAAAAGTAAAAGGAATCTGCAGTAGTTTTAATTCCACAACACTCCTTTCTGTCCAGTTTTGTGGCACAGGATAACCCTACAGTCACAGACTCAGCACTTTCATTTACAAATAAGGAAAATAACAGAGCCGAGGAGTGACTCCCCCAGGCTCTCGCTGTCCTCATTGTGTGCCCAAGGTCTACATCCGCAA